CAAAATTTTAGAATTAGTTTTTGAATTATTTAAATTTCTTAGGCGCCAGTCTCTTTCAGCTGGGGATTCTGACATCATCCGTTCCAGATTCTCTTAAGTTGATAATGTTTCCCAAAAGCAAAGAAATGTTGAATTTTATTTAAAATGCTTTATTATTAATATTATTATTATTATTGTTATTATTATTATTTTGTTGTTTTTTTTAAATATAAAAAGATATTTTCCAGAATGCTGAAGCAGAGGCATTCATCGAGTAAACTGACGCAGATATAAATCTACTGTCTAGACATGTTTATACATAGCCTGAGTCAAAGAAACTCGCCCTTATTTATTTATTTTCTCTTGCTAATATTCACAGACACCAATGAAACAGTTTCCGTCTCAGATTAAAAACTAAATAATGAAATTTGGTTTGGTTTGGTATATTTCCTTTTACGGCATATCAACCTCAATGGGTTATTTAATGCCGACAACATTTTTAGGATAGATTCGCATGAATAGAATATGTATTCTTTGGTTTAGATTGGTTTGGTTTATTTCTTTTTACGGCATATCAACCTCAATGGGTTATTTAATGCCCGCAACATTTTTAGGATAGATTCGTATGAATAGAATATGTATTCTTTGATTTAGATTGGTTTGGTTTATTTTGTTTTACGGCATATCGACCTCAATAGGTTATTTAATGCCGACATTTTTCATTGCTGGTAATATTTTGTTTTGTCAAAAATCTGTTTCTGGTAATATTTTTTTCCAAATTGTATTACTGGTAATAGTTAAGTATTTGCCGATAGCTGGGACCCTAACAGGTGCTACTACCCTGCGTCAGTGTGGAACTGGGAATGCCAGCAATTAAGTGTTGGTACCATGCACCTCAAAACCTCCTGATGAGAGGCCTTGCTGTTGGATGTAGTTTATCGTCTTACCCAGGACGCCAATATAGTTTAACGTCTTAACCAGGACGAGTTAATAATGAAGAAGGCTATTTGCAGCGTATAATCAGCAAAACTGACTAATAGTCCAATATACCGATCACGATCTTACATTTAATGCGTGTTTTCCACATCACGTTAAAAGAAAAGCGAGAGGTAAGGATTAAATATAAACTACAAGAAGACAGAATGCATGATTATCAGCAAAAGGACGAGCCCCAAATGCAAATTACTAATCAATTTTAGATATCTGGGAAGTGTTCTAACAGAGAACAAAAAGTCCGACGTTGAGACCCCAAAACGCATTGAGATGGCCAAAGATGCTTCCCAAAAACTAAGCAGAGAAACAGAAAAAAACTTCGTTAGAGACTAAAAAAACAGTACTGAACTGTTATGTAATATCTGTCCTCCTATATGACAGCGAATGCTGGACAATCTCTTCAAAGATAAGAAGAGACTTGAAACAACAAAAATATGGTTCTACAGAAACATCTTGGGGATACCATTGAACAACGACGAGGTTTTAGTGAAAGTGGAAACAAAAAAGAAATTTATACGTAACATCAGGAAGAGGCAGTGAAAATTTCTGGAGCACGTAATGAGGAAGGAAGGTTTAGAAAACCTGATACCCACAGGACAGATTCAGAGAAAGAGGGACAGATGAAAGCAGTGTGTAGCATGCTGGATGGGCTGAGTAATTAGATAGTAGAGCAGGGTTTGGGAGAAACAGCAAAAAGACAAAACTTATTAAGAGCAACAAAGGACAGGAAGACGTGAAGGGCCTTGATCGCTTAGGTTCTGAATGAACACGGCGCATAAAAGAATATACTATTCAGATTCAATGAAAAAGACAAGAGGCATAACAAGGATCAATTTACACAGAGAACTAAACTGATACGAGATATCATCTCGTATGGACACCCGAACGAAAACAGTCGAGATTGAATAAGGGGTTAGGTAAGAAATACGTAGGAAGGTTACCAGATACAACAGGCAACTAAAGAAGGTCAAAGGATAGAACGTTTGAAACGTTGAAACTAACAATATATGTGAATTTTGTGCTGTGTTCAAGAACTTTGTCCTCGTCCCAATTTCGGCTGAATCCAGCAAATATCTGTTGGAAGCAAATATATAAAATATACAGATTATGTAACCATTGTATTTAATTTCCTGTCTTTTCAGAATGTAAACAATCATACCCTCCACTGATCTTCTTTGAAATGAAATGCTGTCTCGGGAACATTGTGGAGTGATTTCCCATTGTCTTGTTCACCCCAAACAAGGCAAAGAAGCCACTGAAAGGCATGGGGTTATGGAGTGTGAGAGTGTATAAAAAACAAAACATTATTAAGGATAGAGAACATAAAAGACCAGGATAGCGATTGACATTGCATGTAAACTTTTGAAGATCAAAGTTAACTAGAAAGCAAGAAGCTGGAAGAGAGTTCCATATGTGAGAAGCGCGACAGAAGAAACTGTTAGCATAGAACTTACGGTTACATCTAATCATTTCAAGTGTAAAATGATGAAACATTGCCACCAATCTAATACTACGTTTAAATTCATTACCAAAGAGAAGAACAATTACTATGAAAATATATATATATATATAAAAGGCACAGAGAAATTACGTTACGGGGGTGGGAAAGTGACTGAAATCGAGATGCCAGGTCAGGACTAATAACATTGCAAATCCTTCTTTGGATTTTATTAGGAATGTCTAAATACATAGAATAATCAGACCAGATGAGATACAAGACTCAATGCATGGACGAATGGTAGACATTTAAATATGTAAGATAGAGTCTGGCAAGAAAATTTGTCTAGCACGACACAGTGAACCAACTTTCCTAGCAGCAGACCTAACATTAAAATATTTCCACTTCATGTCAGTGGAAACTTTAGTCCGTGAAGGAGCAATGCGTCACTCTCCTGGAGGTTAGCATCAGCCATGATAATAAAAAGCAAAAATGTTCTCGCAAACGATTAAATGAGAGCAATTTCATTTTGGAGGCGTTAAAATTATCAAGTCATTCCTTGCCCCAGTTAACAACAGATCATTTTTGAGATCAACTATCAATTTGATCTTATCGAACCGATCAGACTTTCTATTAAGACAGGAGTAAAAAGTTGTGTCCTCAGCATAGATAGCGTGTTGATAACTGATGCCAACCGGAAGGTCGTTGATAAAAATTAGGAATAATCTCGGTCCAAGGACAGAGACATGGGGGATACGTGCATTTATGCAAAAAAGATCGAGAAGAGTGGCCGTTCAAGATAACTTTCATTTCGCGATTTGATAAAAAAAAAATAATAGAAACAGATCAAAAATTCATCCAGAAATAACATAACCTTTCAACTTTCAAGAAGACCAACATACCAAAAACAACAGCACAAGCTTCACCTTTCGTATCTATAGCACGATAGACACACTTCAACATACATTCTCTACGGAGAAAGATACCTTATTTAATGTTGGCTGCTTTTCTTTTATTACAGTAGCCTCCAGAATTTGGAGTCTTTCTTTGCGATGTGTCCTGTAAAAGTTTTGTGTTATCTACTAAAATTTGCCTTATATTTAGATCATTTTGATGATTTGGACAGGCGCTAAATAATCAAAAAGACCGTGTGATAGAACATTTCGTCTGAAAAAAGAAAGACGTGTAACCTGAAGAGAAAATAATGACATAATCAAGATGTTGACATTCCACACAACTTTGGACAAAATGTTAGGAAGGAAACCCTATCAATACTAAAAAGAGTGATAAGAATTAGTGAATTTGAGAAACCTATTTTCCTGAAAAATTCTTTTCAAAGAAAGATTTTATGAATTTCAACTAAAAGTACAATGGTTGTTTGTGATACGGGGACCAGAAAACCCTCGACACCAGACACAGTATGTCGCCATGTTCGTTCGATCGAGCGTCTTCATTTTTATTACTTACAGCACTATTTCAGCCGATGAAGTCATCGGTCTTCCACAGATACATTGATTAAGACAGTTATTTTTACGATTCAGTAAAAAGTGGTTTCGTGGGTATAATTAAATTTTAACATGGTAGTTAAAAAAAAGCAATATATTTGACAAATTTACTCGGAATGTATTGTAGCCAACATTTTCTTTTGGAAAAATTATTTAAATAAACACAAATAAACAAAACAAAAATTAGTAAGGGAAAAATTATGACAAAAGTGGCACACTGCTTTTTCCTGCTTCTTTTACCTTCAATGTGCTTGGTGAGTATTGGATTCTCCAATCCTTCTTCTTCTTTACAAATTAACTTTGAAGGTAGAAATCGGGTATGACGCAGACACCATGAGGTCATTATCCTCATTTCATAAGGTAATTATAATAGTTTGAGAATGGTGTGCGGTGTGTTTAGATAGTATGGCTTGTATCTGCTTGTTTACCGAAACATGTCAGTTTAGTTTTATTCTTTCTTTGCTAGAAACTTTTGTACATATCTAATATTTTAATATTATAAAAACATTATAATACATTTTGTTTCCTGAAAGAGAGGAAATACAAGTAAGAAGAAATGACATTTCATTTAAGCCTCACGCCTTATGAACGATATGACAAATGGTGGATGGGTTCGTTTTTCAGGTTTTTGAATTAGAACGGGCGTCATGGAGTCAGATAAGAACGTGTTCGGATAAGCAAGAGAGAAATTCAAGATCCTTTTGGGTGGTTAGCTGTTGAGGTGGTAGAGAAAAAAAAAGAAGCTTCTAGAGAAAAGGTTGTCCTAATCCAACACGTGGTTAATTCCTGACATTTGGAACAACTCTTTCAAATATACAGCACGTCAGCGTTTTTTTTTTTCAGATACTAATTTTCAATATTATCGTATTTGCAAAGGATCTGTAGGTGGTGTAATGGTAGCAGGTCAGAACGAGGAATCGGTCAACCGGGTTAGAATTCCACTTCTCACTTTCGAATCAAAACATCTTTGGAAAAGGTATGAATCCATCTTTTCTCCTCCAACCCAGCTGTGCGCAGGAAAGACTGGTTTGGTTTGGTTTGTTTTACGGCATATCAACCTCAGTGGGTTATTTAATGCCGACAAGATTTTTATTGCTGGTAATATTTTTTTTTATCTATCTATCTACCTATCTATCTATCTATCTATCTATCTATCTCTGTATATATTGGTTTGGTTTGGTTTGGTTTTACGGCATATCAACCTCAGGGGGTTATTTAATGCCGATAAGATTTTTATTGCTGGTAATATTTTTTTTATCTATCTATCTCTCTATTAGGTTGGTGCAAAAATAATGACGTGGTAATGTCGTTTTTTGACGTATTTTTTAACGTCAAAAACGCCATTCTTACGTCATCATTTTTGCACCAACCTAATATCTATCTATGTATCTATCTATCTATCTATCTATCTATCTATCTATCTATATATATATATATATATATATATATTGGTTTGGTTTGGTTTCTTTTAGGGCATATCAACCTTAATGTTTTATTTAATGCCGACAACATTTTTATTGCTGGTAATATTTTTTATCTATCTATCTATCTATCTATCTATCTATCTATCTATCTATCTATCTATCTCAATCTATGTATCAGTTCGGGATAATAAACAGATATCCGAAACTGCCTTACCATTCCTGGTATTAGGTTGTTCAGAAATAATGCCCGATTTTAGTTTGGTTTGGTTTGGTTTGTTTTACAGCATATCAACCTCAATGGGTTATTTAATGCCGACATGATTTTTATTGCTGGTAATATTTTTTCAAAAATGTATCGCTAGTCATATCTTTTCCCAAAATGTATCGCTTGTAATAATTTTTTCTTCAAAAATTCATTGCTAGTAATAGTTTTTACAAAAATTGTATTGCTGGTATTAAAAATTATTTTTACACGTTTTGACCCCAGTTTGTAGGTTAACTATTTGCTCATAGCTGGGATCCTAACAGGTTGGACCTGGGAACGCCAGCAATTAAGAGGTGATTCCACGCTCCTCAAAGCCTCCTTGCTGTCAGATATACTTTATCGACTTACCCAGGACGCGGATAAACTGGGCTCTAGGGAGATGAACAACTCTGAATTCAAAATTAGGTATGCCTCTGACATAGCATACATTGACAAGATCATGGATTTCACAATGATGCTATATAGGGGTGGCCAAACTTGCTTAATGTAAAAGCCACATACGATAATGTTCAGCTATTTTGAGAGCCGCAAGACATGAACTAAATTTACGCATGTTTTTGTTACATTCACATTAACATTAAACTTCCGTTTTAATCCAATGGGGTCTCAATTCAGATAAAGATAGATAGATTAATAGATAGATAGGTATTAGTGCTCAATATATATATATATATATATATATATATATATATATATATATTATATAATATATATATTTCCAAAAGACAATGTGTACAAGACAAAAGAAGAATATATTATAAAAGGCTCAAACACAAATATTCCATAGTTATAATTTATCACATTAGAATCGTAATCACGTCCAATTCATCAGACCTACAAATTTATTTGCATGTTGATGATGCTATCATATTTGTGTTGTCAACAAGGATGTTACGAATAGAGTCCGGTAGGTCACCATGAATATTTCTTGTTAACAGTTAATATATTTCAACCTTGAAAATGGCTAAATGTATAGCCGAAAGCGCTCCGATAAAAAGAACAATCGGACAGTTTTTTGTATAATCTATCATCCGAAAAGAAAAAAAATATTAGATCACATGAAATTGTATAAAAAAAACTAAATCAAAGCACCTTATCTGTCATATTGAATAAAATGTGTATATATATATATATATATATCATAACAGGTTGGGGGTTTTTTGTATATTATTTGAATTGTTTGCGACGATGGATTTCTCGCCAATTAAATCATTAACCTTTGCATTTGTTTTTGTATGAATAATTCATGAATTTGTAAATTGATTGCACGTTTATCGAAATTAATATATATATATATATATATATATATATATATATATATATATATATATATATATATATATATATATATAAAAAAGTGAGCATAGAAGTCACCACTTAGAGGCGACAGTCTGTTTCATGCCATATGCAATCGTCAGGCGATAAATATAGCACATCTTAAGACTATATTTCTTCATATATATATATATATATATATATATATATATATATATATATATATATATATATATATTAAAGAGTGATCATAAGTTCCTGGGATACATAATGAAGAAAGAAGGCCTGGAGAATTTAACACGCGCAGATATATTAAAATTAAGTGAACCAGGGAATATCAGTGAGTAACCATCTTAACAAGTTTGTGTGTACGGGCGGCAGACGAGAAACAAAAGGTGATAGTAAATTGTGAAAGAAAAATAGAAGAAGACGGGAAACAGTAGAGAGCCACGATCGCCCACGTCCTAACGTGTCAAGGCCTGAAAGGCAAGTAATGTAGATGTCAAATTTTGGCTGCAGTCTTGAAATCTGAGTCGAGGCAATTAATTTATTTCTCTGATGTATTAATTAAGAAATATTTACAATTTACAATATTACAATTACAATGTTTTTTTCTGCTTTTAATTACAAACGAATTCTTGGGTGTTATATATGTTTTCCACCCGTTGTTGTCTGCCATTTAATAATATCGAAAGGTTTCGGTCACATGACACCAGTAGTGTCGAAACAGCGACTTTACGTCGGCAAATTGGTATTGAATAAGGTTATGTCGAATAAAAACAAACGCTTAAACGATACGATTAAGTTGACGCAGAAAGCATTTGGCAAATTAAATGTCATAGAACCATTTTTATTGGAAATCTTTTTAAAAGAATCTTTTTTTTTTTCTAATTTTCTTTATATATGTCATTATTACAGTATTGTGGTAGGATCCACCTAATTTGCATAGTGGAGTACCGTAAATATGGTTGGTACCGGGAAGAGAGGGAGGAATCAAGAGATTCACTCTCAGTCGAACTCTCTGCATTTTGCAGTGAGGGACCCGGACGAGGCTTTGCCGAGAGGCAGGGTTTCGTCCGGTTCAAAACATAATACAGGTATGTACTATGTACATATCACTTTTGCATGCTTATGAACTCTGTGGGTAGTTTATTTGTTAATATTTTAGAAATTACAATGTAATTAAGGAGAGAGAACCCCAGTCTCCCCAAGTTAATACCCAGGCTTGAAGAGATTAAAGAGGAATGCCTTATGGGAACCCACGTATCCACAGATGATCCCTAGGTGCATTGGACACCGTGAAGGACCGATAATTCTATGCCTGCATCTGACCCTACTGAAATGTCATGGAAGACAAGGAAAACTTTAATAGTCTAGTTCAAAGTATGAGCATTTACCGTGTTAGTTCGAAATTCACTGTGTTCCCAACTATTGTAGTTTTGTGCTCGTCTATGTAAACCTAAGTAAATATATATCCAATAGTATTCACCGCATACCAAAAGAAAAAAATGAAAAGATTTATTTCTTGCCCAAAGATCACCGGGAACTGTGAAAGAAAGAGCATTCGGCTAGTTGAGATTTTTCTCATACCAGAATCTTTCAACAAAAAACAAGATAGATATAAAAAAATTATACTTCAGTTGTGTCGACAGAAAAAAATAAATCTGAAAAAATTGGTTCTTTTCTTTAAAAAAAAAAGTGGGGGTCCTTTCTGCTTTCAAGAATTATTTAAATTGAAAGTATTTCTAAGCTAAACTAAGGAACAACAAAGAGCGAAATATGTCGGTCGGGAATTTTGGCATTTATAAAGGAATAAAAGAATTAACAGGACAAAAGACTTGTTCATCAAGAAAGAAACATAAAAGCCAAGGACGGGGCACTGATATTAGAGAAAGAAAAATACTTTAGAGATGGAACGACTACATCGGAGATCTCTTCGACGACGAAAGAGGACAACCCTCAATACACAGAAATATCAAAGAACCAGAAATATTAAAATCTGAAGTCAAATCAGCCAAGGGCAAAATTGAGCGGGAAAAAAACAGTGGGACTAGACTGGATTGTATAGAGATACTTTATTTGAGTAGATGCTCCGTTTATTTTTTAAACAGTATTTTATTTCGTCTATCGGCTTGAACATTCGAGAAATCTTATTAGAGGAAAAAAAAGCATCTTCCAGCAGGATTTGAACCTGCATTCTCCTTTGTAGGAGAAACCCTTAATATTCGTAGTAATTTAACCATCTCGGCTACAAAGCTCGGCTACAAAGACTGTCGTGGTGTTGCAGAGTAATATTTTACATTTTAAGCACACTTTTCCTTGTTCAGATCTTTGAAACTTCATAACTGCTCAGTTTCGTGTACGAAACGTAAACAAAGCAATTTCTAAAAAAGTAATGGATTCTTATTTATTAACCCGGCATATTTTTGTTAGTTTAAACGCTATTTTTAAGTGGATAACCTCATTTGAGTATACTCGCTCCACTTATATCGCCTCCTCAGGCCGATAACGTCTGTGTCAACTCTCTGACAAATCGACCATGGTGAAATCATTCGAACACTGGTCTGAAAATGAGAAAGGAAACGTTCTAACCATTCGGCCAATATAGATTATTATTAGGTTGGTGCAAAAATAATGACGTAATAATGTCGTTTTTCGACGTTAAAAAATACGTCAAAAACGACATTATTACGTCATTATTTTTGCACCAACCTAATAGGTCAAATTTTCTAGGAAGGTGACTGCTAAATGATCTGGAAGCCTTAGATGCTTTTGGCATTGACAAGATTAGAGAGATAATATATCTAATATACAACAATAGTGATATACCGGAAGACGTAAGTAAATCCATTTTTATATCGCGGCCTGAGAAACCAGAAAACGAACGTGAACGTTATCCAACATAATGAGCCACATAACAAAAGAAATATCCGAATTCTGATGAAAAGAGCGTGAAGCAGAATTAGACTGGAAATAGGACAAAAACGGTGCGGGTTTGTTAAAGGCACTAGAACAAGGAATGCAATATTTATGCTCAGAATGATATCAGAAAGTAATACAAATGTAAAACTATATATACCTATATTTTACAGATTATACAAAAACATTTGATAAAGTACGTCACAAAGAACTGTTGGAAGTGCTCGTTAACCATAACATATTTAGGAAGGATATTAGAATAATCCAGAACTTATACTGACAGCAAACCACTTGCATCCAGACAGAAAATGAATTCAATAAATATACAAAAATAGAAAGAGTTATAAGACAAGGATGCGTCTTCTCACCAGACTTATTCAAACTTTACAGTGAAGCAATCTTGAGAGAACTGAATGTCCTACCAGGGTTCATTACTGGCGGCCACAATCTTAACAATATTAGATATGCAGATGACAGTGTTGGTAGCAGACACAGAAAAGAAAAATAGAGGAACCCCTAGAGAAGGTAGTAAAGGAAAGCAAGAAGAAATGACTAAGCATCATCTATCAGAAAAGAAAGTGCATTGTTGTCAGCAAAAAAGAAGAGTTCAACTTGCGAATTACAAATTGGAGAATAGAAAAACCTAAATATCTAGGAAGATTTTTTAACGGAAGACGGAAAGTGTAACACAGAAATTCGAAGGCGGACTGTGATAGCAAATTATACCCA